CTGCCTCGCAAGCTGAAGGTCCCAAGTTCAATCCCCAGTACCAAAAAAAAAAAAAAAAAAATTTCAATATAACTACCCAGCAAGAAAGCCTTACCAACTATAGCCTCTAACACTATCACTGTCAAAGACAATATTATCATGTTTCATACTCTACCTCTAGTTCCTTCTTATACAAGTGAATGTCAGTTTTATTTTGAGGAAAGCAATCCCAATATCCACCATCATTAGAGCACTAGTTTACTAGTGCTACAAAATAAAAAATTGCAGGTAATTAAAAAATACATTAAATTGTTGAAATCTCCTATTCTAGAAGCTCTTTATTACAATATTCTACTTCTGTATCAGTAAGATATTAGAGTAACCAAAAGGAATGCTTAAATGACTCTTCCCTAGATAAATAAGTTAACAGTTAGCAATTCTTAACAAACTCTTTTGACTAATCCCTCTGAAAACCTCATATCCCTGTCATCTTACAGAGACTATCCAGAAATTATCTTCTTAAATACAAGCGTCAAATCTTCCAATGTTATTCACAAATAATACTTATAGCTCCACAATTAGGACAACTTTTGTTTTTCGTAAGAATAGATTATGCCAGAACTAAGATAGCCACCTCCACTTCAGACTTTAATATTAATTTTGCATTTGCTTTGCACGTGTTCAGAATCTGTGCCCTAAAAGTACATCATCTCTAGCTAAAAAATTGATAGGTAATTCACATAAGAAATGGGTCCTTCAGTAATACTAATAAATCAAAAAGACTGAGTCAAAAATTCCTATATAAAGAAAAGCAATCTTTTTTTAGAAAATTTTTTTTAAAAAACTGTCAAGATGGGCTGGAGACTTAGCTCAGTGGTGCTGCCACCTGTCCCACAAGCGCAAGGTCCTGAGTTCGATGCCCAGTACCAAATAAATAAATAAATAAATACTGTCAACTATGGGCCAGGGATTTAGCTCAGGGGTGTCGCCGCCTGCCTGGCAGTGCAAGGTCCCAAGTTCAATCTCTGGTAACCAAAAAAAATTGTGAAGTAGTAAAGGAGAAAAATGGGGTGTTTTCTTGTTTGTTTTATTTTGAGATAAGAATTCAATATTTAGTTCAGGCCGGCTTTGAACTCAATGGTGATCCTCCTGCCTCAGCCTACGAAGTGCTGGAATTACAGGCATGTGCCACCAGGCCCAGCTAAAAATAGGTTTTTACAGGTAAGGGAAAAATAGTTGAATCCAAAGATGTTTCTGAATTGGTAATACAAAATTTGACTAATCAATTTAATGTCCTACAGAGCATCAAAATGTGCTTTCTGGAGTCTACTTCACCCTCAACACAAGAGGGGCACCAGTAACTGGCTTATAACTCTACTCTGTGCTGAGGAACATACGCTAAGCTCCACACACTTTCCAATACTCCTCGCACTGGGAACATACCATCTCTTGACATCCCCACAGACAGACACTTTTTGAATCGACACTGTTGACACCTGTTCCGATTCATCCTCATTATGGAACAGTTTTCGTTCTTCAGGCACTTCTTGTACTGGATGTTTTGCTGAATACTTCTCCGAAAGAAACCCTAAGGACAAAAGATTTACTTATTCATTTGAAAACATGCAGATGAATTCCTTATAAGCACTGTTCCTATGCTTATCTAGTAGATGACTAGGTACCTCGGAAATAATTTTGGCTTAGAACAGAGAGAAATACAATACTGACACACAGGGGCGAAACCACTGAGCTAAATCCGCAGTCCTGTAACTGAGTTCTTACTAGTATCGACAAACAGATGTGACATGTATTTGCCAAACAAAATCCTTCATCCATTTTAAGATTCTTTGTTTTGTTTTTTTTCTGTTGATACTGGGGATCAAACTCAGGACCTTGTACTTATGAAACAGGGGCGGTGCCACTGAGCTAAATCCCTGGGCCAAGACTCTTTGTTCTTAACCAATGGACCTCCCATACTACACTGCCCCTCTTACCAGACCTTACCTGCAGCCACATTTTTCATCTCATACTTGTAATCACATACAAATTCCAGAACTCTTGACAAATGAATGGCTGATCCTTAGAAACCTGACAGAAAAACGTGTTTGATAGCTGTAATTCCCTCACTAGGACCCTGAACTGCACTGACAGAGGCTGGTCTTTCCTAGATCATTACCTGCTGGCACTGGCAAGGCCTCTCATGCATGTTAGGTGCTCCTGGCTGTGTCACCAACAGGTGTTAAGTACACACCCACAGACCAGCCAATGATCAAAGAAATTAGTTCCCAGCCAGATGCTACGAACAGTGGCCTTTACTACTAGGCTAACAAGTTAAGTACACTGTGTCCTCACAGGGTTCCAGCTTACTGGTTCCAGGGACAACAAAAACAAACATAATCGGGCCAGGGATTTAGCTCAGTGGCAAGCACAAAGTCCTGAGTTCAATTCCCAGTAATCACCAAAATTATTTTAAGCTGCCTTTTCCTTGAGTATTATAAATGACTAAACATTTCATAAATCTTTATTAAGCAGTTGTGGGATTTAGCATTTTTATGTTTTATTACTATGATACTATACACTTGACTTAGACACTGCAAGAGCAAAACAAAATGTATTTTTAACAAAATACTGAACAAGTACATATGTGTATTTATCAAGAATACAAAATTCAGGGGCCAGAGATGTAGCTCAATGGCACAGAGCCTGTCTGGCAAGCCCAAGGTCCTGAGTTCGATTCCTAGTACCACAAAAAAAAAAAAATACACCATTCATCTCATTCAGCTTGTGCTTTTTTTTTTTTTTTTGGTACTGGGGATCGAACCCGGGACCTTGCGCTTTCAAGGCAGGTGGTGGAACCACTGAGTCAAATCCCTGGCCCAGCTTGTGCTTCTGTTAGCTATAATGTGAGCATGAAGCCTACCTCACCAATGCCCAGTTCACATTTTGGGGTTTTTTTTTAAAGCAATATTTACACAATTTTTAAAACAATAGAAGCCGGGTGTGGTGGTGCGTGGCTATAAACCCAGCATGCAGGAGACTGAGGCAGGAGGATCACTGCGAGTTCAAGCCCAGCCTGGACTACATAGTGAGTTTCTAGTTCAGGCCAGCCTGGACTAGATAGCAAGAGCTTGTCTCCAAAAAAACCCCAAAAAAGTAAAAAACAAAAAAACAGTAGGAAAAAGCCATATCTACAGAAAATACAGTTCACCCACTACTACAACCTGTTAAACTTTTTTTTTTTTTTTTTTGCGGTACCCAGGATTGAACTCAGGACCTTGCGCCTACAGGCATGGTGCCGCTGAGCTAAATCTCCAGCCCTAGCCAAACTAGATTCCTGTTTCTAGCTTGAAATCAGAAAACAGCAAGAACATGTGTCTGGCATATTAAATTTTGGTAACAGAAAAAAGGATTACACCATATGTGAGAGAAGGTGGGTGCTGACTGCTGACTGATTCTAGTTATAAGTAGGAAGATGTAGAATATCTTGTTTGGAATTATCTCAGCCACTTGGGAGACTAAGGCAGGAGGATCTCAAGTTCCAGGCCAGCCTGGCAAGCTTACCAAGACTCTGTCTCAAAATTAAAAAAAAAAGGCCAGGGATACAGCTCAGTGGAAGAGCACTTGCCTATCAAGTACAAAGCCCTGGATTCAATCCTCAACACCCCCGCAAAAAAGTTATTTTATATACTTCATTAAATGCTTAAAACCAGAATGTCTGACTTGTCTCTCCCTCCTAGATTATCAACTGTGGAAATTTGCAAAACTAATCCCAATTTTAATAATCCCAGTTATCAGTAGTTTAAGGGAAAAAAAGCATGCTTTACCTTACAGCCTTCACAAGCATGAACTCCATAGTGGAATCCTGACGCCACGTCCCCACAGACTTTACACAGTAGGACCATGCCACTGAATTCTAGAGCACAAACAGACATGAGGTGAAAAGCTGGAAGAAACATTTCAAATGTTTTTCTTTCCAACTGATATTTGTTTCACTCAGCTTCCGAGTGCTTTCTTTAAAAATGTACATGTCTACTTCTATAATGTAAAAGGAAAATCTCTACAGCAAATTAACAAATAAAAGAAAATCACTTTTTAAAAATAGCTTATGGAACTGCAAAAATACCTCAGAGTTGGGTTTTTTCCCCTTCCTTAGTGATTTTAAACATACACTGCAATTCTGTAAATTTGTAGTTGCTTTATACCAAATATGCAACCAGAACTTAAGAAACAATTCTCCTGGATAAAAATTACAGTTCAAGCAGAGAAATTGATAAATAAACAACACAAAGAGATATGGGAAAATCAATTAATAAACAAGGCAAAGAAATGTCTCCACAGGCACCTGAACTTATTCAGTTCACCTACAGGAGCTAAAGAGGTCCCACTCCTTCTTTACCCTCCCTTCTCACAGTCTTTGTTACCTCCACACTCACTTAGGAGTCCAATCCCACTAGTCACCCGCTGGTTATCCCAATGCTGCTTTGTTTCCTACTCCCAAATGTTCCCAACCTCAATGTCATCAGAGGAAATCCTTTCCCACAAGCTAATACTGTTCTAGAAACAAGATTCAGTACTAGGAATCCAGAAGAAAGGTAACTGTGAATAATGTAAAAGGGAGCATCCTGGGAGAAACATGTTAACTTCTACAGTCATCATTGATTTCTTCCTAAGTACTGATCTGTGATTATCCAGAAGGGAGTACAAATTATAGCCAGAACTACATTGGTCTCTCAAATCTAAGGTGGTAAAATAAACCCAATCTGCAATTAATTGCAGTGATCTTTAAATTACTAAGGTAACTTACTTGTCACACCACTATGACTCTTTGTCATCCCAGGAACACTTGACTTGCTTGTCTTCATAGAACAATCTACTCGATCATTCTTCAGGATGCCTTCTATATTGGAGAGATCACCATTCTTGTGATTACCATTGACATCAGAATTAGAGCTATTTGGAGAAGATGGAACAGAAGAGGAGGAGGACTGGAAACTGTTTTCAGAACCCTCACTGTGGCAAGAGGCAGGGCTAGAGGCTGAGCTGGAAGAGCTGATATAGGCAATCACACCTCCTAGAAATCAGGGGAAATCAGACAATTAGATGCAAGATAATACATGTGGCTTTTTAAAAAACTTTTACAAATCTGAAAATATTAATTTACTGAATTGATAATAAAGTTGCTGGCTTTAGAAACGGGACTACAGTATTAAAGGTTTGCTTACAGCAAAAGTAAAAAGGAATTTATTTCGTTACATCCTATCACTCTTCCCGCTTCCATAAAGTTCAAAGCACATGTAACTCTACACATTTAAAAAAGTGAGAAGGCATTCATTAGCCTGGTTATTCTGAGCACAAACCTAAGGCTTTTCTTTTCCTAATCTCTTAAGAAGGCTGAAAAAACATCCCTGAGAGACTTCACAGCTTCCAGTAAACAAACTCTTTTGCTGCAAAGAGATGTTTCTGGTCCTCTCTTTGCCTCCTCCATTACACCTTCCTCTGACAGTGACAGAAACAGTGAGTCCATCACTGGCCTGCCCCAGCATTTAGTTGAAACATAGGTTCATCAGGAACAAATGCTAACATCTGGAACTCCAGTTACAATAATTTATCTCAAATAGGGAACCTCTCATAGCTGACGCTCCCAAATCTTTCTGTTCCAATGCACCCTGAACATAGCTGTCGACAATCCACTAATCCCTAGTTCCATCCTCTCCACCTCATTCTGCCACTGGACTTACAGAGAGACTCATCGCTAAGCACCTCTTTATGGACGCAGACTCATTATTTATATAACATGTTAAAGGGCCTGGAAAGAACACATAGAGAGAAAGAACAAGTGTAAGGTTGGCGCCAGTCCACACTTTATGGACCTACTCTCCAAACATGGTTCACAAGTTCATCAACATCCCACTGTGTGTGGTGGCACACACCCATAGTCTCAGCACCTGGGAGGCTGAAGCAGGATTGCTGCAAATTTGAGGCCAGCCTGGGCTACACAGTGAGCTCAAGGCCAGGCCAGACTTAACTACACAGCAAGAGCCTGCCTCAAAAAATAAATAACCCCTATCCATTATGCCCATCATTAAAGCATGCACTGGCATCAGTCCTGAGGCTGGAGGTGTGAATCTGCTCTTTCTCTACTCAGAAAGACCCACTTCCCACATGCTATCCTGTGTACATCTCACTTGCCCAGGGAGAAACTAGAGTTTCATAATTTTATTTTTCCTAAAATATGGTCCCTAACTACAATCCAACTATTCTCAAAGTTTGGGAAGGAAGGGTAGACACAGCTAAGTGGTAGAGTGCTTGGCTAGCACACATGAAGCCACCAGTTGGGGGGGGGGGGAGGCGCTGGACCAGGGGCATCAGCTATAACCTAGAAATCTGTTAGAAATCCAAATTCTCAGGTCACACTCCAGATCTACTGCATCAAAAACATTTTTACCCTCAATACTAGGGACTGAACTCTGGGCCTTGCACACGCTCAGCAGGCGCAACGTCCCTAGCCCTCCTCAGAAATGTTAACAAGTCCTCTTGGTGATTCGGATGCACGCTAAAGTTTGAGGAACACTGCCACAAGCCAACTACTTCATCTGGAGTGAAATGACCAAGGGCTGTTCTTTTATCTACTACTGATTTTAAAAAGCTGCCTGGCAGAGTGGTGCATGCCTGTAATTCCAGCACTTAGGAGGCTGAGGCAGGAGGATCACCATAGGTTCAAGGTCAGCCTGGGCTACACAGTGAGTTCAAGGCCAGTTTGAACTACACAGCAAGATCCTGCCTCAAAAAAAAAAAAAAAATCTACAAAGGAAAAAAAAAAACTAAAAGCTCCTAATAACCTAAACACAAGGAGAAAAAGCACCCCAGCTTTGAGTTTATCACCAAGAGAAACTATGTAAAATATATACAGTACCACTAAAACTACCTGGTGTTTGTTTAAAATCCATGTTCCCAAGCCCCTGTCCAGACAAGAAGGTACACCCAGAAACATGTGTTTTTACCAGGTTCACTGTATAATGAAGTTTAAAAAATGGATACCGTCAGTGAATTCAAACACAGATTTGCCCATAGTTGTAAATGGTAATATTTACTTGACACAACTGTCCAAATATCTTTAATACCTTGTGAACCAAGAGAAAACCTAGAAACCTCTCAAATGCCATGTTACTGAGTAAAACACTTAGTCATCTGCCTTTACAAAATTCTAGAAATCTTGATGTTCCCATGAGAAATTTCAATGACGGAAAACTGTTACATTTCTTATACCTATCCCCACTCAGAATAGGTTTCAAAGAAAAACTTAATTCTTAGTACACCATAAACTCCCAAAGGAATGTCTCACAGTTATTTGTCTTTTTTGTAGCAGTGCTTTGGGCACTAAATCCATACCTAACACCTTAGAAGTATAAAAGATGATAAAGTGATGTTTTTCCTCAAAGGACCAGCAATTTGAATCAGTCTTTTATGTAACAAGATCTTCCGACTACTTCTGCTCCAGAATAAACTTTTAGGAATCAAAGCTACGCAGATGGTTTAGAACTGTTTAAAAACACTAAACAGGGAGCCAGGAGTTTAGCTCAGTGGTTCCACCACCTGCCTCACAAGCACAGGGTCCCGAGTTCAACCCCTGATACCAAAAAAATTTAAAAAACACTAAATGGCCAGTGGAAGTATTTAAATTAGTTACCAAAAACACAAGTTCCTTTGCAAAAGTTTCCAAATCAAACCTAGAAAAAAGTGCTGGCTATTATTAATTCAGTTAAGCTCCAAATCCTCTTTAGGGAGTTTAAGCATTTGTACTAAAGCACAGAATCAAAGATAACTCATCTAGAAGTTGCTGCATCCTACCACCAAGACTTTCAACAGTGATTTCAGGTTTTTTGTTTGTTTGTTGGAGGGGCATCTATTCTACTAGACACCAATCTATCAACATCCCTACCAATCTTAGCAATCCAAATGGGTTAAATTTTAATTTCCTAGAAAGTAAGGAACACAGAAAGTAGTTCCTCAACTAAAGGAGGTAACATTACAAGTCATGACATCCCTATTGGATACCAAGCATAAAATTACACGATTCCACATCACACTTTATTTTCACAAGAACCTGCAAACTGTGCCTCGCAAGCGCAAGGTTCAGAGTTCGATCCCCAGTACCAAAAAAAACACCAAAACCCTGCAAACTGACTTCCATTAGCCCATTTCACAGATGAGGAACTCAGAGCTCACACAGGTGAATGGACATAGCAACTACATAGCAGGGGCAGAATTCAAAGTCCAGTCTGTCCAACCTAGATACAGATTATGTGAGGCCTGAGCCAGTAAGTCACTTTCAAAATCTCTAAACCTGAGTCACCGTACATAAAATGGACATATCCTCCAGTTACAAGACTAATTTAGAAAAGAGATTACTTGTAACCCTAGCACCTGGGAGGGTGAGGCAGGATGATCACTGCAAGTTCCAGGCCAGCCTGGGCTACATAGTGAGTTTAAGCCCAGTGTGAACTGCATAGCAAGACTGTCTCAAAAATCCAAAAAAATTTTTTTAAATAAAAGAGATTACTGAAATGCATTTTGCAAAGTGTTTGTTTTGTTTTTTGGGCTTTTTGTTTTTTGTTGTTTTGGATTTGTTTTGAGAAAGGGTCCTGCTATGTTGTTCAGGCTGGCCTTGAACTCACAACAATCCTCCTGCCTCAGCCTCCCAAGTGCTGGGATTTCAGGCATTTGCCACCATGCCCAGATGCAAACAGTTTTTGATAATAAAGCAAGAAAAGTAAAATCACCAAATCAGCAAGTCCCAACACCTCACCTCCAAAACCAGGCAAAATGTACTTCTTGGAGGCCTTAAGCTAAAATTACCTAAAGCAGAATCTTCTCTATTTTTAGCTGAAAGGGACCCTGGCACTAGGCCAGGTTCCCAGGCTAAGGCTTACCCAGTGGTCAACTTCAGACAAGCCAAAAGTCAATATTCACTTTGTACTTGCTGAGAAGCACTGTTCCTGCACATACTGTAGTTTCTCTGAAAAGAATGCTTGACATCAAGTCACAAGTTTATTTTGTGCTTTGTGGCTTAAAACAAAACATTTTTACCACTGAAAATTTTTAGTTTTCTCATCTTAAAAGTGGGTTATGCAGCACTCTAGGAAGCTGAAGGAGGAGGAGAAGTCTGACCCCAGGCTGGGCAATTTGAAAAAAAAAAAAAAAAAGGTAGGTTATGAACAATTCACCTCACAGGATGAAAAAGCATATCTAACTGATACTAAACTTCCAGTTGTGTCCCAGGTGTCAGGAGGCTGGAGAACAACATGGTCCCTTCCCTGAAAAGCTTTATACACCTTCTGAGGAAACCCTTTGTTAATGTAAGCAGTATCTCACACAAATAACTGAAATGCTGAGGATCATACAAATGCACAAGAGGGCAGAGATCAAGAGATACAACAGCAAAGATGACAAAAATCAAAGTAGGGACTTATAAGAACATACAAATTATTAAATAATGTATCATGTAAGATTTTTAAGTGCAACTACAAAAATAAGTAGGTTTTACTCTGTAAAATAAACAGTACTTTTGGCTCTATGTAAACTGCTAGAAAAAGGCAGCAAAGATGTAACTTGTGCCTGAGGAAAAAAAGTCAGCTTAACTAGCAACTAGGTTTAAAAAGAGAAATGTTGGGGCCGAGGATGTAGCTCAGTGGTTCCACCGCCTGTCTCACAAGCATAAGGTTCCAAGTTTGATCCCCGGTATCAAAAAAAAAAAAAAAGAGGGAGAGAGAGAGAGAGAGAAAGAAATGTTGAACTGGGAGGCTGCAGGTGTCAGTCACTTCCCACCAGCTATGATCCCATAACTGCAACCCACACAGATCCATAAACATCCCCTTCAACCCCAAAAGACAGGACCACTCAGCTATGTGCACACCTTCAAATGGTATGTAGGCTAACATTTTTCAGATTTTTTTTTTTTGGTACCAGGGGATCAAACTCGGGTCCTTGCGCTTGCGGGGCAGGCAGCGGAATCACTGAGCTAAATCCCTGGCCCCTGGGCTAACATTTTTTACAGAGCAATACTTAACACTTTGTGCTCCCTAAATGGAGTTTGTGGATTCAAATCTTGCTCTAGCTCTACAGCTTGCCTAAATAAGTTGCTTAAATTCAATTTATTTAGCCCCTCATCTTTAAGATGGTGTCAGCTATTCCTCCCTTCACAGAATTATTTTTGTTTTCTTTTGTTTGAAACAAGAGTCTCACTCTGTAGCCCAGGCTGGCCTTCAACTCTCAGCGATCCTCCTGCCTCTTCACAGAATTAATGTGAGGGAATACCTGTAGTGGGCCTGACATATAGTAAGTGCTCAACAGATACTGGTGATTATTACTTGACCATGGTTATACTAGAAGACCTTAATCAGAATCACTCAACACTAACACCTTATTATTTCTTCTTTTTTTTCATTTTTTAAGTTGTCAAGTGGACCCAGTGGTTTTCTCCACAGGTTATTTCCACGTTACCTTCTGACTCCTTTAATCCCAATAACCAGACAAGCAACTTAGTACTTCATTTCTGATTTTTTCCTATTATTTTGCTATTTCTCCAAGTGAGGAATTCTTCACCCTTTTAACCCTGATTCCCTCCTCACATCCTCAAGTTTGGAAAAACATAGATTACGTATTTGTAAACCTAAGAATAGACTGTGTAGGAATGTTTTCCTAAATTTTTTGTTTTTGTTTTTTGTTTTGTTTTGGGTTTTTTTGTTTTCCTAAATTTTAAAATCTGAAGTATAGGCACAGTCATGAAGTTTGTGCAATGAGTCACTTTTTAGAAAACTTAGTATATTCAAAATCTTTGTGAGAAAATGTACCATTTCCTTTACACTTAACTACTTCACATCTGAATGTCATGGAGAGCAGAAGAAACAGTGTCATGAATTACAGAATAAGATCAAATAATGGTTGAACTTGTCAACTGATACTGACCTACATACAAGGAAGGGCCAGAGGTGTGTCACACAGCGCTGAGTTGGCCCCACCCTGGTGAACGTTACAACAAACTGAAGTTGAAGAGAATTCTTACCAAAGATCTGACAGATGGTAGAAATTGTTTATATATTGAGTATTGGCTTTTCACAGCCTTGAACTTGACGCCAAACAAATGAAAATTTAAAAATGATAATCGCAAATTCCTACAAAATGGGTGAAATGCAGCTTCAAAGTAGTTCATATGAAGTAGTCCTAGTTGATGGCAAGGTTACTGAGTCAGCAAAGCAACATGCCAAAAAAAAAAAAAAAAACCCACCAAAAAACAAAACAAAACAACAAAAAAACACTAAGCCTGCCAAAGAACTCATTTACAGAAGTGTCCAAAGCAAAGAGGGCAACTTCCACTGGAGCTTATTCACTTCTGAGCACTACAACCCAAAGGGCAAAATAAAGTATGGCTGCGAATTGTAACGGAAGAAATGAAAAGGACAGGGAGAAGTTAAGTCACCCAGATGAACTTGTATAATCAATGATTACAGCGGTGCTTGCAGGCCAGCACTTAAGAGGTTCGCTGAGTTTGAGGCCAGCCTGGGCTATTGAGTTCAACTACACAACAAAAACCAATCATGTTCCTGGAAGGCTCAAATGAATGAAAAACTTCTACTCACATGAGCTAGCCCACCTAATGAGGTTGCAAAGCCTGAAGAATTCACGCTGAAGGCTGTTACAAAAGAGCTGAACCTAAATTTCTATCATGTAAAAAGCCTACTTCAATGACAGAGTTTCTAAATATTTTTAAATACCCTCAAAGGCTAAATATGCACCGGGTAACCAAAACAGTGAGAAAACGACTTTATTTTTACTGTTACCAAGGCACGACTTTTAGAAGTGCACAGAACTCAAATAACAGAAACCAAACTGGCTGCTTCTGTAACCTCATTTGCCTCAGGTCTAAGGGCCATCACTTGGGCACATCAATAGGGGACAGAATGAGGTATCATTCCGTAATAAACAGGAAATGTAACAGGAATTTTAAAAATGTCTTTATGAAGTTTAGGAAACATGAGACTGAAAAGGTTTTTTTTAAGTGAGGTATGTCTATTTTAAATTAAGGTCTGAGAGTCACCTACGATCACCTGAGTCATCCTGACCACAGTTACAGTGTGCAAAGGCCCGGCCCAAAGGTGACTCCCGAGCTGTTTTTAAGATTTCTGGGGGTATAAAGCGTCCAAGAGGGAACTTCTGGGGGAGGGGTCGATGTCGAGGCGGGCTCTTAAGTGCCGGTGCTGCCCGCCCCGGGCGCTGCTCCGAGGTCTCCCATCCCGGCAGCCCCACGCTTCGCTCCAGGATCTCACTCTTGATGTGCCGCACCCTCGCCCCGCATCCCTCCCTTCCTCCGGATCCGCAAGGTCTGCGGCTGCAGCACCCCCAGGCGCCTGCCCGGCCCGGGTTCCTCGCGTCTGGGTCACCTCCCGGCAGGGAGTAGGCGGCGGCCGACGCACGCGCGGCCTCCTCCGCAGTGTGCACCCCCGCGGGGGAGACGGGAATCGCGGCCACGTCACAGCCCAGAGGGTTCCGACGGGGCGGGGCCTCCCGGGAGGCTGCGGCGCTCCCCGCCGGCGCGCGCCCGCCCCCACGTATCTTGCGGCCCCGGGGAATGTGGGTCACAGAGCCGAGCGGCCTCACGTGTCCGCGCCCGCCGCCGCCGCCTCAGCACCCATTATGTAATGTCGCGTCACGCGCCCGCCCAGCCAACCGGCGCCCGCGCGCCGCCGAACGTAAACACAGCGCGCACGTGGCTCGCGCGGCCGGGCCATGTGAGGGGGGGGCCGGGCTGGGCGCCGCCGGGCCGCGCTGCGGCGTTGCGGGGAGCCGTGAGGGCTGGCGCGAAGCGGCCTGGGGGTCACCGGGAGCCGGGCCTGGGATGGACGCACCGCGCTCAGCAGCCCACCGCGCCGACTCGCGAACATGCCGCCCGCCGCCCCCGAGAAGCCCCCTTGGACTCCCCCGCCCTCCGCAGCCCGGGTCTTACCCGCATTCACCTCCATGGTGCCCTCTGGGAGGGGCCGGGGCCGTCCGCTGCCCGCCTCAGAGCCGCGCCGCCCCGGGCCGGAGACGGCGGTGGTCGCGGAGCGCGCTCATGGGCGGGGCGGGCGAGACCCAGGCCCCGCAGCCTGGCGCGGGCTGCAGGGAGAGGGCGGCAGCGGCCGGGCGCGCGGCCCTCCTCGCGGGGACCGTGACAACAAAAGCGGCGGCGCGGCGGCTTCCTGCAGCCAGCACCGCGGCGGCGAGGGAGGCTGACGGGGAGGGCAGCGCGACCATGTGACCCGCGCACACACACACCACCCCCCCTCCGCCCGCGCCGCGCGGGCCGCAGCGGCGACTCCGCCCTCCCGCCGCCCGGCCGGGCCCCGGCCCCTCGGGCCCTCCCCCCGTTCCCTGCGTCCCGGCCGCGTTCCCCTCCCCGCCCTCCCACTCGCCCTTCCCACTGCCTCCTCTTCCCGCCTAGAGCCCGCAGACCCCTGCACGCGTTCCCCACCTCGTCCGCGCCGCCTGGTGACTCCTCGGGTCACCCAGTGGTTTCAGGGACTGCCCGCGGCGCCCGCCTGTCCGAGCTCGCCAAACCCTTGACCTCCCCGGTGTCCCTGCTCTCCGGACCGACCGCTAAACGCCGGGCTCTGGGGGTCCGGGCCGCTTCTCTTTCCTCTACCCACCTGGGTATTTTCATCTAATGTCATAATTTATATCTATGCTTTGATATTCCCAAATTTACAATGCGTGCGGAGACGTCTCTGATTTGCAGTCTGCCACATCCAACATCCCATTTGATTGTGCCCTTTGCATCACAATTTAAGGTGTGCATAGGTGTACACGTGCGTCAGAACTCAGCTAACGTGCACCTAAGATTTGTGCCTTTCACCTTGTATGTAGATTTCATATCCAAAGAATACGAAAACATCAGATGTGTGCGTGCTCAGTCGAATTGAGAACGACGTACACTGTACATTGAGGTCTGATTTAAGTGCACTACAAAATCATATGGGCTGAATAAGAACCAAGAGAGACTATGTAAAGGTGCAAATTTCCAATCATGAATGTCATATTGTATACCTGAAATGTACCGATGATTAGAATGAATAATCAATAATGCAAAATAGGAAGAAAAGGTCCAAAGGTTTAGGGGTAGTGGGAGGGGCAGGGGAAAGGAAAGAAGGGAAAGGAAAAATGAGAAATGAAAATAAAGGCTTTGTAAATAGGGAAGGGTGGAGGGGGTGAAGGGAGGGCCGGGAATGGGGAAAAAATAAGAACCAAGATGCATCATGTAAAGGTACAATTCCCAATGAGAAATGTAATTGTGTTGTATACCTAAAATGTACCAATAAAAGAATTTAATTTTAAAAAAATCATATGGGCTGATAGAGGAATGGCTAGATGGGTACTGAAATGTAATGTTTCGGTGGGGGGCACCTGGGCATTCACTGTTAAATTCATACCGGTTTGCCTTTTGTAAATTTGCAGTATAGAATAGATGGGGACCATGTCTCATAAAAGATATATTTACGTGGGCAACACTTTGCGTGCCAGTGCCTTCACCATATCCATCTTTACTATTTTGGTAAATCTACCCGTTCCTGAAGCCAGCAAATTAGGTTTCTAACATTCTCATTGCCTTTGATACCCTATTCAACCCATTAACAAATCTGAGCTATTGTACCTTCAAAATGTCTCCAGTCTCAGCCACAGCACTGCTATAACTGTTTAAAGCAAGCTACCTCAGCTACTGCAGTTCCCTAACTGGGAGGCTGCTTTGTGGTTCCACCTACAGTCTCTTCTCCCCAGCAGTCTATGTATTTTAAAAATGTAAACAACATCTGATTACTCTGCTCGAAACCCTCCAATGGCTTCCTGTTACTCTTTGGAAAAAAAAAAAAAAAATCCAGTGGTTTCTAACCTGCTTAATCCTGGCCTGACTCCGGGTCTTGCTTTTCTGTCTCAGGCTCTCTGGCCACCCAAACGACCTTTAAGTACACACTCCTGTGATGCTGATGCAAGGGTTTCCCAGGCTACACTTTAGTTTGATTCTTCAATTTCTGTATCAACCACCACCTAACTCTGCACAGGTAAAATGAGGTTAATATGAACCAGAAGGCAGGAAACACAAAAACGTATACCACTCTGAAACGGCTACATACTGTATGATATCAAGTGTGACATTCTAGAAAAAAAAAACTATTGACAGAAAAAGAGCAGTGGCTGCTAGGTGTCAGAACAGAGTGAGGAATCACAGAGCACAGAGAAGCTGTAGCTTGCAGGAAAACTTCTGTGAAATACTAGACTGTTGATACACTTGTCAAAACACATAGAATGCACAACACCAGAAGCAAACCCTATGCTAACCATGGGTGTGTGCTCCGGGTGAGGATGATGTCAGTGTAGGTTCTTAGATGGTAAGGAATGCACCAGGGCAGGATGTTGATGGTGAAGCTGCCTGTCTGTGTAGACAGGAAGTGTATGAGACCTCTCTACTTTGTATTCAAGTTTGCTGTGAACTGAAAACTGCTCTAAGTGGGAAAAAAAAAGTTGTAAAGATAATGGCTATAAAATAAAATCTGTGGGCCAGGGATTTAGCTCAGTAGTGCCGCCACCTGCCCTGAAAGCACAAGGACTTAAGTTGGATCCCCGGTACCAAAAAAATAAATAAGGGCCGAGGATTTAGCTCAGTGGTTCTGGTGCCTTCCTTGCAAGTGCAAGGTCCCGAGCTCAATCCCCGGTACCAAATAAATAAATTAATTAATTAATTAATTAATTAAAATAAAATAAAATGTGTTTATCAGCCTCGAGGTTTTTAGAGATCGCCACCTTCCTGTGAGGCTTCACAAGTAACTATGAGAGGGCAGAGTGATGACTTCAGTCAATCGCAGGCACACTATTGGCCACTGGAAACTGGGCTCTTCAGTATCAGAGGAGGCTGCAGAGAGGTCAGCCAGATTGGACTGGCCCCAGAGTACTGTAGCTGCAGTGGAAATTGCCTTCTATTGCTGCCATTCCAAGGCACTTCATTTATTAACTATATGAGTCTTAATCTCAGTCTGTTCAGATACCTCAGACTGCTTATAGTGGATTTCTATCTGTTCCACCTTCATTCCTCTGATTAAAGTAACTCTGCTGTATCAAGTGATTGTGTGTTCAAAAATTATGTTTAAAAATGCTAATTACATATAGCCAGGTATGGTGACACACACCTGTAGTCCTAGCTACTCAGGAGGCTGAGGCAAGAGGATCCCCTGAGCCCAGGAGTTCAAGACCAGCCGGGGCAACATAATAAGACATCTTTAAAAAAAAAAAAAAAAAAGGCCAGGAGTGGTGCACACCTGTAGTCCCAGCACTCGGGAGGCTGAGGCAGAAGGAATTCGGGTCCTTGTGCTTGCACAGCAAGCGGTGAAACCACTGAGCTAAATCCCCGGCCCATTAAATGTTAATTAAATGAATCGTGGGTTCATAAAGCCACGACAACATTCCACTTAAACACTGCCTTTGTTTTGCCCTAGGTCAACAGTTCATTTTGACATTTTGACCTCAAAACTCTTCCAAACTCTTTTTCTTTCTTTTTGGAGGTACCAGGGATCAAACTCAGGACCTTGCGCTTTTGAGGCAGGAACAGTGCCACTGAGCTAAATCCCCAGCCCTCCAAACACTTAAATTATTGAAGACCTTAAACTGCTTTTTTCTTTTTGAAGTCCATATGTATCTTATCTATTACAAATGAAAGAAAAGAAAACCTTTCCTTTTTCTTTCTTTCTTTTTTTTTTTTTTTTTTGCTACTGGGGACTGAACCTGGGCATTTGCACCGAGTAGCCCTTTTTCATTTTTTATTTCAAGAAAGGATCTTCCAAGGTCAGAGATTTAGCTCAGTGGTCCCGCGCCTGCCTCACAAGCACAAGGTCCTGAGTTAGATCCCTGATACCAGGAGAGAGAGAGAGAGAGAGAGAGAGAGAGAGAGAGAGAGAGAGAGAGAGAGAGAGGAAGAATCTTCTAAGTCACTAAGTTGCCCAGACTGGGCTTGTACTCTGTACCTGCCCCCGGACTCCAGCTCCCCAAAGTGCTGCAATTCAGGTGAGCACCACCACACCCAGCTTCTTTTCAACTAGAAACTCATTACACCATCCATCAAAACAGTTGTTTAATGGGACAATATTTTGCAAGGTTTCAGGTTTTTTTAAATTTAATTTTACATTGCTTAAAATTAAATAAAATGAAGGTTTTGTCCCTCAGTTGTACCATCCCCGTTTCATGTGCTAATGACTGTGTGGAACTAATGGCAACCATATTGGTCCTTACAAGCATTTAGAGGCTTCCTTACTCTTTCTGAGTCACTTTGATTATTATTCTAGAAGTTTGCCTGTAATATATAAATTCTCAAACTTATTGGAATAAAGTTGTTTACACTCATCCTTTTTTTTTTCTTTCTTTGAGACAGGGTCCCACTATGTAGCCCAGGCTGGCCTCAACCTCATAGT